TCGCCTTCGTCTTCGTCGTCGTCGTCGTCAGCGTCGTCGTCGTCTTGTTGGTCGTCGTCGTCGTCGTCGTCGTCGTGGTCGCCTTCGTCTTCGTCGTTGTCGTCAGCGTCGTCGTCGTCTTGTTGGTCGTCGTCGTCGTCGTCGTCGTCTTCGTCGTCGTCGTCTTGTTGGTCGTCGTCGTCGTCGTCGTCGTCGTCTTTTTGTTGGGCCTCATAGCGTGCAAACCGAGGGTGCAAGAACCCACTCCTTAGGCTCCACGCTGGCAGCTATCACGAAACTGGCAAGGAACATGTTCGCTCCGCCGAGAAAAAGGAGACTTCCACAACCCTCACGGGGCAAGTGTCTTGATGTGATACTTATTCTGCAATGCTGGACTCCCACACCGCATCTTCCTGGTCTCGTTCTGGATATGCTGCGTTACTCAAGGGCATCACCGTGCGCGCGACCTGGTATCTCAGTGACACGCAGAAGCAAAGAGTAATTAGGGAATGCATCACGCCCTGGGTTTAATACAAGAAACAGCATGCGCACAAGAAGAGGGAAAGGACGTTACGGTCGATGAAATAATGGGGGTGCCAGCTACAGAACAAATAACATCCCACTAGACGCTCAATGATTTGTTTACCGAAACGGTGTCTGCTGAAAGCAGCTGCCTTCTCTACTGACCCAAACTTGCTCAGGTCCATAAGTCGGGACAGGAATACCTCGAACTTGGCAGCGGGCACAATTGGAGCCCTGACGCCCCACTCGGCTGACAGCATCGTGCCCCAGGTCGAATCGTAGCACGCGGCTGCAGCAAAGAAGACGTATTATCGTCGTCTTCGTCTTCTTCGTCGTCGTCGTCGTCGTCAGCGTCGTCAGCGTCGTCGTCGTCGTCGTCGTCGTCGTCGTCGTCGTCGACGTCGTCTTAGTCGTCGTCGTCCGAACCCCACTCCCACCTCCCCTGCATCGATGGTAAGCGGGGGTAGGGTGCGGATTTCGCCACGTGTCTGGCGAATTCTGGACCTTACCCCTGCCGCCCATCAGGGTAGGATTGGGGTTTTTAGGATTTAGGATTTGGGTTTTTACGCCGCCGATCGGAGCTGGGCGAGTTGAGACAACGGGGGCTTAAACTCGGCCTGCTCGCGTCGTTGAACAAAACACTAATTACGAGCGGTCTCGGGCAAGTTTCGGCCTCGCCGGGCCCCGGATCTTCGAGGGCATGATTTGTCCCATCGGGGCACGTTTCAGGAACGAGCAATGCGGGATGACGAAAAAAATGAGGGGGGAACGATTAGAAAAATAGTTTTCTGTCATTTCTGCACAATTTTCTCACTGGCGGAGAACGATGAAAGAAAATAGTGTTTACAGCCCGCGGCCGGTTTTTTCCTAATGGTCATCCCAGGCGCCGCCGCGTGAACACGACCCCCGGTCATTTATTAATCGTCATCCTCCATTATCAAACTCGAGGCTTCTGGAAGCTCTCGTCCATTCTCGCGGCGGCTTTTTCTGGCCTCGGGAGGCGTTCCAGCGGCCGCGCGTCGCCGAGCGCGTGCCGGGGGCTGCCCAAGTCGGCCCAAATCGGCCGCCAGGGACCCGAACCGTGATCCAAAACCTAGACGACGAGGGAAGATCGGAGGGAAGATCGGAGGGAAGACCGAAGGTTTCTGGAAGCTCTCTCGTCCCTTCGCGGCGGCTTTTCCTGGCCTCGGGAGGCGTTCCAGCGGCTGCGCGTCGCCGAGAGCGTTTTCCGGGGGTGCCCAAGTCGGCCCGAACGGCCGCCAGAGGAGGAGGAGGAGGAGGAGGAGGAGGAGGAGGAGGAGGAGGAGGAGGAGGAGGAGGCAGAGACCCGAACCATGATCCAAAACCTAGATAGACGACGAGGGTTAAGATCGGAAGGAAGAATCCCGAGATCCGGGCGTCGCATTTTGAAGGGGCCCTGGGACACACAAATAAATGCACAAACAAAAAAAGATCCCCCATATTTTCCCATATTTTCTGGGTTTCTGTCTTCCCGCCCACTTCCCATATTCTCCCATATTTTCTAAGGGATCGAGGATTGATTGTGTCTGTGTGTTTCTTTTCCTCCTGACACTTGTTCTTCACGCTGGGCGTCTTCGCCCGGCTGAAGAACCGCGGCGCCACCACGGATCGGTCGGGCTCGCCGCCTGCCGCGGGAAGATGAGGTCTCAGGTCTGAGGCTCCGCTCGTGATGTGTCGCGAGGTGGCAACTTTCCCGACCTTTTCCGCGCTGCCGGATCTCGGGGCCTCGAGTCCGCGCACCTAGGGGGGAGTGTCGAGCAGGGCAGGACCGCTCGGAATGGGCGCCCAGGACCACCGTCTGGTGAACACCGGCATTCGGAGGGCGCTGCTCGTCCCTGACTCTTCACCCCTTTCGGAGCAGGGCGACTCCAGACAACGGCAGCTCAGAATCGGTCCCTGGACCCCTCCCGCGGGGTCCAAAACGCACCAGTCGTCCGAGCTGCGCCCAGCCGTGGCGACGAGGGCCCCCCCCGAAGGCCAACTACGTACCGTTTGTCTCGACTCGCCCCTCGCTGATCGTCGTCGTCGCCGCCGTCGTTGCCGTCGGTTTTCGGTGCACGACTCGGCTCTCCTGCGGCCGTTCTCGACGATCCGGGCCCCCCCGGAACGCTCTTGGCGAGACGCAGCCGACGGAGGACGCCATGCCGAGACAGGGAAGCCGCCGAGAACCGACGAAGACGCCCGAAAGCCTCGAACCCCCACTGGCCCGCCTCTGACCCCTGGAGGCCAGCGAGGCGAGCAGGACGGGGCCTCCCGAAGGCCACCTGCCGTCGTCTCTGCTCGCGCCCCCCCTGGGTTGAAGGGAAACTGGGACACACAAATAAATACACACAAATAAAAAGATGTCCCATATTATCCTATATTTTCTGGGTTTTTGTCCTCCCCACCACTTCCCATATTTTCCTATATTTTCCTGGGGATCGACGATTCATTGTGTCTGTGTGTTTTTCCCCCTCCTGATGGGTACCCGACGGCCGCGGCGTCCCCGCGCTCCGCGCACGAGTGGTGCAGCGGCGTGTTCCCCGCGGCGTCCACCGCGCCGAGGTCGCCGCCCGCGGCGTGCAGCCGCTTCAGGATGCCGACGTCCCCGCGCCGCGCCGCCTCGTGCACCGCCGTGCGGCCGTCGCGCCTCGAAACGAAGGCGCCACGCGGAGAGAAAAAAACGCGGCGGCCGTCCTACGCGGTTTTCTTTAGATTTTCGCTTAGATCTTCGCCGCTTTCTGCCGGTGTCTGTAAGATTTCCCCATAGGTTTCTGCAGGCTCGAGTGTTTCCTGCTGTTTCCTGTCCTTGCCTGCCGGTTCTATCGAAACAGCGGAGTTTAGTGCAACTTTCCGCCGTTTCTGGCGCCGTCGGGTCCGTGCGGTCGTGGTCGCCCGCGCTTGTGGCTGCGCGCTCGGGCGACACAGGCGGCATCGACGCGCACCTCAGCGCGGCGGGAGCGGATCCCGACGGCTCTCAGGCTCGGGTCGGACGAGAGGGGGGGACCATGGACAGTTTCCGTTGGGGTTCGGCGGTTTTCTAGCCTCGGGATGCCTTCCAGCAGCTGCGACTCGCCGAGAGCGTTCTAGGGGGCTTGGGACTCTGGAGCCCATCTTTCCACAGCGTTTCTCAGGCTGGATCGATCCGGGCGATGCAATATCTTCACACCGGGCGTTTTTGCCTGTGTCGGGCCCGGGGCCCTCACATATCGAGGCTCGAAGGAAGACGCAGACAGCTGGGGTCCAGGGCTCGGGTCGCGATTTCCCCAGATGCCGAAACTTGATCGCAGTGTCGGATCTCGTGGCTGGCATTTCTCGTTCTTTGCTGGGTCCCGTGGGGACTTCTCGTCGCCACGGATGGATCCGCGCCGGAAAGCAGGTCTGGACGGAACTCAGGAGTTGATGACGATGATGAACATGATGATGAAGATGATGATGATGATGATGATGATGATGATGATGATGATGATGATGGTGGTGATGATGATGATAATGATGATAATGATGATGATGCTGATGATGAAGATGATGATGATGATGATGATGATGATGATGATGATGATGAAAATGAAGATGACGATGAAGATGAAGATGAAGATGAAGATGAAGATGATGATGATGATGGTGGTGATGATGATGATGCTGATGATGATAATGGTGGTGATGATGATGATAATGATGATAATGCTGATGATGATAATGGTGGTGATGATGATAATGATGATGATGATGTTGATGATGATGATGATGATGATGATGATGATGATGATGATGATGATTACGTTGATGATTACGATGATGATTATGATGGTGGTGGTGATGATGAGGATGATGATGACCTCTGGTGCAGTGCTACGGAGCGTGTCCCTGCGCAGCCTGACAGAAAGGTGGTCGGCCTGGCCAGGGTTCTGCGAACCTGGCTCCAGGGTCGCTTGCAAAGCCCTCCTCTGAGATCTAACGTTGCGCCGAAATGCAACATCGTGAGAAATGACGACCAGCGCCGTGGACCCCACCTTTCCGCGGCATTTCTCGAGCCAGATCGATCTGTGGTGGTCCTGGGGCCCAGAACCAAGCGAAAACGCCTAGTGCGAAAAAGTAGGCAACGCCCAGAACTCAGGGTCCCGACCCTTTCCCTGGGGCCGGTAATTAATGATTCTGTTTGGACGGTCCTGGGGCCCAGCACAAAGTCCGTGGTGGCCGAAAGCGGCCAAACACCTCCCGTAGAGATTTGTGGTTCGACGCGAGCATGTCTGGGAAAGCCCTCCCGAGACGGCGGGAGGTTCTTCGTCGCTTTCGGCCGGGCCCTCCCCGAGGCCCTGACTCCAAATCCGCCCTACTTTGGCTTTTTTGTCCAACTTAAAATTGCGTCGGAAATCCACCTATAAGAAGCCGAACAAGTAGGGCGGAAATTTCTGCACCCAACATAGAAAGTAGGGCGGAAATCGACAGAAGTAGGGCGAAAGCAGCAGCAGAAGAGTAGGGCGGAAAGTGGCATCAGC